GCCTCTGGCTAGGACAGAAGCAGACAAGAGGTGGCCTGCCAGCCAGACCCAGCCTGCGGGCCCCCACACCCGGACCATCAGCCACAGAGCTGCCTCACGCCACTTTAAGCAGCTGGCTGTTCCCTGTGGCTCTCTGCTCTGTGGAAAAGGGAAACCCCTGATACCACGAAGTATTTTCAAAACAGCTCAGACAACTGAGCAGCTTGAATTGTTTCCAGGATCAAACCGGGGGAAAGCCTTACATTTTACCTTTCTCAGATTTTGCTGCTGTGGAGGGTGGCTTTCTCTGTTCCTTCCTGCCTGCTGGAAGAAAGTTAAAGAAACTTAAATAAAATCAATCATGAGTCCGATTTTAGTAAAGGTTTTACCAGCTTCTGGATAAACAAATATTCAGCAAGATACGCCATTTGAAAGGTAATTTGTATCCAGAAAGCATCAAAAGTGCCGGCCTAAGCCCCCAACATTGTGTGAGGAGAACGTATCCTACATCAAAACGATTTACAAAGATGTCTCTGTTCAAGTACAGCCCCTTTCGGGGGGCGAATGACCGGTCTTTTGAAAGAGCTACCCATCAACACAAAATGAAAACTAGATGGAGTAAAAAATGGAGCAGCCTACGTCTTCCAAATTATAGCCGAGCGCATCCAATGAATTATACTTCCAGCAGGCTCTAACTGGAGGACAAAGGCGTGCAGTTGTCATCCTAAATCAAGACGGCTTTATAAAGGAAGCAGACAGACCAGTATGTAACCGGGCTTACGACACAAAAACTATTCACAGCTGAATGAGGAATCCCATGGGACCTTAGAGACTAACAGATGTATTTGGACTTCAGCTTTCATGGGCAGAAACCCACTTTGTCAGATGCAAGTGGGTTTTTGCCCACCAAGGCTTATGCCCAAGTAAATCTAAGGTGCCACAGGACTCCGCATTGTCTTTGCGGATAAAAATTAGTGCTACCACCCCCACACACCTTACTCTCTAACTCCAGTGAATGAACTCTAGGGGCTACGCTATAGGGGTTCCCCAACGTACAAGACGACCCATCCTATCTGTGTCTGTAAAAAGAGAGACCCTCTTCTCACTGAACGGGACTTGCACAGGCAGAACACAGCGCTGTGCAAGAACTAGATGAAATACAATTTCCACCCCCATTTTCCTAGTGCTCCATCTCCCACCGCACTAGATGCGAGACAGGTTCTCATGCCATCAGCATTCCAGAACCTGTGGGATTTCACCACATGGACTATCCCGACGGAACGCTCACTCGGAACACACTGCCAGACCGAGAGCTCCGATTCCCCACCTTCTTTCTCCGGCTGTGACCGAGCCTCAGCTAGATGCTGCAGCACCCAACGGGGTAGTTTCAGATGGACCTTTTTTCCCCCACCATGGGAAGCCACCAATAGCTTTTAGGCGCCATGCGGGCTGCACTATTCAAATCCCTCATACCCCAGAAGTGAAAGTACAGTACAGCTTACACTCATCTTCCCAAGGAGTCTGGGCTCCTGACATCCCTCAGTAGGGGAGGAAGGAATTTTTTTCTCCTGCAGGAAAGTGAGTTGCGCACTTTGGGGGACACTCTGCTCAAAACTCAACCTGCACATGAAGCGTGGCCCTGTCAGTGATTTTAGGAAAAGAGAAGACTCCTGCAGACGGGCTGGACTCCTATTGGGGATTTGGCTGCATGCAGCACCCACTCCAACCTACCAGCATTGGGAGGTGTCTTGGGGGCCGTGGGTGTTTTTGCTGGGATCCGGGAAGCATTGGCTGGGCTTTTCTGAGTCTGCGCTGCAGACCTGGGAGCGGCCATCTTCATTCCGCTTTTCGTCTCCGGACCCTGCCGACGGAATTCAGAACAAACGTTTGTCGCGTGGTTTGCGGACCCATGAGAAAAAACAACCACCTGCTGCCAAGTGAAGGGACGCTGCTCTCGTCACTCAGACAGCAGCGAGCCTGCAAAGTGCTTGTCATTGTCTGCCCCCCCCCCCCATCATCCCAGGACGGGACAAGGGTCAGCTTTCAGTACAACTTTTGCAGGTACAGCCACTTTAGCTGGAGATGAGCCACCATCCCTTTGCATGCTGCCCCAGTGAGGATGAGCCGGCTGCACCAGCCTCAGCGACCCGAAGCCTGGAGATCGCACCTACACTGAAAGGGAAGCACGTGGCTGCCATGCAAGCTGTTCACTTCGGCAAGTTATGCAGTGCCATGAAATGCTTGGCTATCCAGCCCAGTTAGCAAGTCTGGCTGAAAAGCAAGTCCATGTCCCTCACTGGTTCCTAAAACTCCTGCCTCCCCAGTAACAAAAGCTTCCTTTCCCCATATCTGACACATTGTGGTTTATGTTCGTTCCACAGCCCTGTTAGGGTGGTAAAAAGTTTATGAAAAATTAACCCTGCTGGATCAATTCAGACATAAATCTTCATTCAGGCTGGCCACGGATGAGTAAAAATTCAAAAGGAGAATCAAACTTCACTCTTCCCCATTGCCTCCGTAGTCTACTGTTTATTAACCCCTTTAATCCTGCAGGGTAGCTTCTTCAATCGGGATCAAAGCCATTTCATTTCCACTAGTCGTGTGAAAAAGAAAGCTACAGTGCTATCGGTCAGAGCTCAACCGTTTCAAACCACAGTTCTTGCTTTTAGTGAAGGATGCTTAAGGATTTTGTGGTTCGTGTGTTATAGCTGCCAGGGAGTGAGCACGAGAAGCGTTTTTTTTTAAAAAAGCATGTGTTCCTATTTCTAAGTGGGAATGTGACTTTTTATGTTTCAATAACGTAGCAGCCCTGGAGCAATGCACGCCTGCATGTTGGAGCTCAGAGATGGTTAACTTCAAGCCGGTTAGCACAGAAGCTCATCCTACTAATCCAGGTATGCAGTTTCTATTCTCCCCTCTCCTTCAGGTTCTAACAAGTTATATGAACAGGCTGGATTTTTTATATATATATGCACAGAATAATCCACAACCCTTTTAGAGTGGGGAGGGGCCTATTGTGTTTTCTGCGCAATTTTGCAGCACAGAAGACCTTTGACTCCAGCACATACTCATTGTTCGCATATAAGACAAATGTCGAAGCACCCATGATTCCAAGACAATGTTGCTGCAATGTGAAAGAATTCAATGCCTCCTTGAAACACAAGACAAAACCCTTCTGCACAAGGAGGAAAGGATTTTAAAAACTGTGTTCAAATGAATGCAAACCACGGGGCCCTCTCAGCCGGTGACAGAAGTGACTGCTCTGAACAACACAGAAATTATAAAATTTCCAGATAAGCTACTCTAAACGCCACGCCCTACCTCAGGATAGTAAAGGATTTCATGGTTACACTGCCACTTTTTTTTTTTTTTTTAAACAAACACCAAGTGCTTCAGCCACACCCAAAACAAGCTAGAATGGTTGTCTGGCCATTCCTGATTGAAGCTATGTACAGTCTGGGTTGGGCGAATTTCAGCCTCCTCCGTTAGGTAATTGGGGTAAAGAGGAGATACTGCCCACTAACGATGTTAACAAAACATGGATCTGTATAAACGTGGAACCTCTGGATTTTTTAGTGGTTACACGTTTACAATGCAGGGGGCAGGTGGGACCCAGTGCTTGCAGGGAGCTGGCTTGAAACCTGGCTCCCCATGGGCACCAGATCCCGCCTCCCCCCACCTTGCTGCCTCTGATACAGAGGCAGCGGAGGTGGGCGTGTCACCATTATAATTAACCGATGAACCCAGGCTTATGGGTTAAGCGTGTCAACCGCTACACACTAATATCCCTGCTACCCACACATTGCCAGGAAACAGTCAGTCAGGAATGGGCACCCTAATCAATCTTTAAAAGTAGCTGTGGTTTCCTTTTCACCCATTTCCTTACCTTGGGCTTCATTTCTTTCGCTCCTGTACTGGCAGGTCGGGATGTGACAGAAGAGACGCGTTTAGGAGTGCAAGCTGATGCTGAGGACTCAGCAGGGCTGGAGGGACTTTTCAAAGGGGCTGTACTAACAGAGGAGGGTCGCTGGGGGGTAATGGAGGATCTATCTTTCAGGGGTTTGGCAGAGGAAGGTGTGGATGTCTTCAAACAAGTAAACAAAATAAAATTAAAAAGAAATCAGCATGAGAAAAACCAAACTGAAAGGGGAGGATGGTTAAAATCAAATACGAATGGCTAGGAATGAGACGCAACAGGCTTGCCCCTGGGATGAGAGGTTCTCCTCAGGCTATGCCGGAGTCGGAATACACCCGGAGGTCTGGTTTGTCAGACAAAAGTCTCTCAAAGTCTATTAGTCACCCTGTCACATTTGAAAGAAAGCGGACTTGGCAGAAGCTAGTCAATCTAGGGCCAGAATTTCCAAGAGTTGCCCAGTGCTCATGACAGGACCAGATTTTCTAACATGCATCCACCAGGTCCTACTGAGAACAAGAAGAGCTGGCACCTTTGGGAACACGGAAGAGTATGAAGCAGCCAACAACTGCTCCTGCATGCGCTTCCACCTTTGAAGTGTAGAAAGCGCCGGGTGGGCTTGACTACATTTCAAAGGTGGAGGTGCCCTTATCGACTAATCGAATAGTCGATGAAATTGCATCAACTATTCGATTAATCTAAATTTAACATCCTTATCCCCACCACCAATAGATCAGGGGTTTTCAAGGGCACGGTTTGTAAGGGCAAGCTGCTAGCTGCCGCAAGATGCTTTTTTTTTTTTTTTACCTGCGCCTCCGCAGGTATGGGCGATTACTGCTCCCATTGGCCATGGATTGTGTTCCCAGCCAATGGGAGCTGTGAGAAATGGTATGGACCAGAACACTGCTTCCTACAAGTCCCACTGGGCAGGAATGGTGATTCACCAGCCAAGAGGAGCTGCAATCGCCCGTACCTGCGGAAGCACAGGTAAACAAAGCTTCTCACGACCAGCTAGCGGCTTACCCAGCTTCCTAAGCGATCTGATCACCCTGTACAACTGCCCTGTCACCCTTATTTACCGTTCCCCAATCTCTCTCACCTACACATTTTATTCAGCAGTGATTTCATATTTACTGCCAGGTCACTTGATGAATGCATTGAACAGCATCAGCTCTAGTACCAATCCCTATACTAAAATAATCCCATTCAATGAGTATTCCCCACCGACAACTATTTTTCGAGATGTCAGTTAGCCTAATCCATTTAACATGTGCTTTATTGATATTCTATAGCACTAATTTTATAATCAGGGTGTCATTAGGCATTAAGTCAAATTCCTTATAAATGTCTAAGTGTAATTGCATAGATGTAATATCTTTAATGGCTAAATATGTTATCTCCTCAAAGAATGAAATCAGGTTTAACAAGATCTATTTTCCATAAAACTATATTGAATGGCTATAATTACATTCCTATCCTTTAATTCTTTATAAATTTAATCCTGCATCAATTTTTCCATTATTTTGCCAGGGATTGTTGTCAGGCTAACTGGCCTCTTTTACCCTGGTTTTGCCCTTTTTGAATATTGGCATAACATTAGCACTCTTCCCATCTTCTGGAATTTCCCAGAATTAAATAATGTGTACAATTCAGAACACAGCCCTCTGGTGGAGTTGGACCATTCTTTAATGGTTGCTAAGGACAAATGTCTAGACTTGCTCTTTCTTTGTTTCTCAAATGGGCAGTTGTGTAACTTCAGAACTGCTGGCTCACCAACAAAAGCCATAACTGTATTTCACAAAGGCAGATGCATGGATCAGGGTCCAGGACTGGGACCCACTAGTTAGAGTAACTGTTTTTTGAAAGTTAAACATTTGGACTCCTGCCACGTACCCTGGAGTTCTCTCTGAATTAGTTAAAAACAAAACAAAACAGCAGTTTAATTCTAAAAAGTCAATTTTTTTCCTGAGTTGATTTTATGATTGAAAATGGCTGCGTTTTCCAAAGGAGGGAAACAAAACCACAAAGACACTAGGAGAAAATAAAACTGGAAATTAATGGCAAGGTTTTCTAACAAATATATGGATTTAGGTCAAAAGCAGCTGGGAACAGGAGGAGTCAAGAACATATACAGAAGGTTCACATCGTATTTGTCATCTTACCTTAGGCTTTTTTTCTTCAGTACCAGTTCCATCTTTGTCTTTACTGTCAATATGAGCTGATGAAATGCAAATAAAGAGAGTTATGTTCCTCTTCTTGAGGTAGTTAACTAAATATTATAAAGTAAAGCTTCTAATATATGCGTTATCGCAACATGCATTAGTGTTCGCATTTCTTCTCATTTCAGTTACATCTATTAAACAGTCCTTATCAAATTATTTCAGTTTTTTGTGTGTGTTCTTGCTGTGTTACTGATTATCCTTAATGCATAGGAGTAACAGCTGCGCTCATCAAAAACATGCAGCAAGTGTTACACCAGACCATCCCTGACAAGAGAACTTGGCACATTGTTTTAATACTGTCTTTCTGGTTTAAGACATAACAGCTCCATTCTCAGGCAATGTTCTCTCTAATCCCTCCCCCCTGCCATTCATGTGCGGAATAAATTTTGTTATATGCACTGAGGCATATGCGTATGTGCACCACCAGTAGAAAAATAAGCTGCTGGCCATGAGCACTCTGCTAATCAGCAGGACAGCATCTGAATCTCTTCTGGGTGGCTGCCCAAGTGCTCAGCTTACAGGGAACATCGTTCTTGGGCCTAACTCTGTCCCTACGCTCTTAAAAACACATGCAGATAAGGTTTTAAGCACCACATATGAAGACAATCATGAATGCCTCCAACTTATCAGAGTAGGGTCTCATGACCTTACATAACAGAACTGGTTGATCTTGTTTTCCAAAAAAAAAAAAATCACAATTAATGCATTACTTCAAAAAGCAATTTTATTCAAATCCACTTGTAATCTTCATCTCTCTCGATGTACTATCTTCTGTCAGATAGTATTTCAGAACATAATATTTCTTGAGGCTTTATCAGCCAAATGAAAGCCATTTAAACAAGATTCATAAATAATACGTATAGTTTCTCATTTTCCCTCATTAACCTACGAACTACAACAGACACTGCAATATAGCAAATAAAGAGACTGAAGTAAAGTATTGAAAGTAAAGTTTGTACTAAATTATAGGATACTAACTACTAAATTCACTCCCCCTCTCCTCCTATCAGCAGCTAAATTCCTTCTTAATTTTGAAGGTAAAACCGTTCTTATTCCTTCTCAAAGCTTTGGGAACGTATTCTGGCTGATAAACTTGACAAGGGCTCTAGCAGTCACCTTGAACCTGAGCGCCACTATCCAGTTCCAAAACTTCCCTAAAACAGCAATGGTACAACAAAGGTGCTGTATGTTTCAGATAAGAGCTCAAGATATTTCCAGCTGAAGAGAGAAACACCCAGCCGCTTTTCTGCTCCTGTTACTAAGTTAGAAGCTGGCGCCTGTAAGCATAATTTGTAGGCGAGGTGTGAATGAAGCTTCTCGGATTGCATATTAAAAGCCATTAAAATTAAGAAATCTGTCATGGGCTTTAACTCCACTGGAAGAAGTTACATTAACAGTAATTGCTAGGGCCTCCTTCTCCTGCCTCACCCGAGGAATAAACTAGGGGCTGAATTTTCAGGCTGACTTGGCTAGCTGTGCCAAGACGAGAGATGTTAAAAATCATTTCATACAGTACCCCTGTAACTGCTAAAAATCTCAGCGATTACATGTGCTGCGAGCTTTGCGGTAGAAGTCTCCCTCGGAGCGGGGCTGCCAGCCCCTGCCCGCCTGGCTCCTGAGGAGGTGGCTTCACGGTCACGGAAAAACCTCCTCCCTGGGAACAGCAGGCAGCCCCTGGCGGAGGCAGCAAAGCCGTTCCCCTGGGAGCCAGCTGAGTTTTACCGATACCATTAACCGATAAGCATCAGACTTATTGGTCAAACAGTTAATCCATTAAACTCTACCATCCCTAGCCTAGACAGCATCTAGGCATCCAAAGTGAAATAGGTACGGTGCAGACATGCAAATCCTGCGAGTCCTGCAGAAACTAGGGATGTTAAATATTGGTTGGTTGAATAGTCGATTAGCCTCATGAATTATCGGTCAGTCGACTATTCTATAGTCCCCGGGGGTGGGGCCAGTAGCCAATGCACTCCGGCCCCAATCCTGAGGAGCCCCCTACCACCTGCGCTTCTGCCTCTATCATGGGGTGCCAGGCGGGAACTGGTCCACAAGAGGAGCCAGTTTAAAAACCAGCTCTGAAGCAGAGGCAGCAGCACAGGGGGGGAAGCAGCCCCTGTCCAGAGAGTTTAAAAACCTCCCAGACCTGGCACGAGCTGGAACTGAACCAGCCTGCCTGCCCACCAGACTCCCAATACACTATAAATGCAGAGCAGCAGCAGAGGTAGGCCCCGGACCCAGTGCGAACCAGGACTGAGCTGGGCTGCTGGCCAGCCTGCTAAAAAATGTACTGGCAGGTTGGGGGGGAAGGACATGCATGCAGCCTATAGCATTAGCTTATCGGTTAACCAGTTAATCGACTGTACTGTCACGTCTCTAGCAGAAGAAACACGTTCGAACTCTGGATGGCTGCACCTGGTCTGGCCCCCAAAGAACTCACGTTGTGTTTTTCACGCCTGTGCACTAACTTGCCAGCCTCCTGAGCAGCCATGTTTTAGTGAACAGGCTACCTCCCAAGGTTTCCCTCGGATGAAAGGAGAAATAGCTCTCGAATGCAGAGGAAAAATGGCCTGTCACACAAGCAAAGGCATTTGTGCCCCAACAGGCTGAATCTAGGCACCTACTCTTGCCGGTTAAGCTAACCTGGTTGCACAAAGTTGAACACCTAAATGTAGCGCGACCTGATTGCAGTGCTATTAACGGAGCAGTTACATGCATCAAGGTTTCTCGGCAGACACCCTTAGGCATCTCACAGCCAAGTGTCACCTCGCTCCTCTCTAAAACACCCAACAACTCCGCCATCTCTCTGGGGTGGTCTTGCACATAGTGCTGGGCCTGCAAAGGGAGGACACAGTCCTGCCTGCTGTTCTCCTCTCGCACTGTTAGAAACACTGACACGAAGGGCTGGCTCGCCGGAAACACACAAAGCAATACCAATAGCGAGTGGGGCACAGGGGCAATTGCCCTGGGATGTCAGCGTGCCTCTACAGAGACAGCAGAGTGCGGGGGGAGGCCGGTGCTGCCTGTCCCTTCCCCCCCACCCCACCCTGCTGCCTCTGATAGAACTGCCTCTAATCAGCAGGGCGGCACCTGAATCTCTCCTGGGAGGCCACCCAAGTGCTCAACTTACAGGGAACACAGTTCTCAGGCCTAACTTTACTTCTATTAGATACAGCAGCGTGTGTGGGGGGGAGGGGGAGAGGAGAAGGGAACAGGGGAGGCTGCCGCAAAGCAGCCTCTGTCCATGGGCAGCTAGGGCCAACCACAGACAGGGGCTGCTGCCACCTCAATCAGGAGGCAGCAGCAGGGGGAGCTGGTCTGCATGGGAAGGGGGTTTTCAAATAGATTTAGAGGCAGCAGTGCAGGGTGGCAGGAGGCTCCCCGGGAGTGGGGAAGGGAGCACACTGACTGCTGACTATGGCGTGTAACTGCTAAAATTTGATGGGGTAACACGACTGTTCGACTACACGCGATCAAACGTCCCTACTGGGCAGCTCTGAGAGCTGAAGGAGGCGAAGGTGTCGTGTACTGGGCGACAGAGGGCTGGCTGCCTCTGGCTCCGCCCCTTCCGTCTGAAGCCCCGCCCCTTTTGGGTGTATAGACCTGGACGCCCCATCTTGCCTGGGGCCCGCAGAACGGGTTGGCTCCCCTGGCCATATGCGCTTTACTAGCAACGGCTATGAAACTATGTAGCCTGCTCTGTGTCAACGCTACTCCAGGGAGGCTAATGCCCAGAACAAGTCCCTCTCACACTTTTCTTTTATATCTATTTAGAGTGGTGGGTGAAATCAAAGAGCCTACATAGCAGCTGTGATCAACCGAAAGACACTGAAAAGAAAAGGGTGAAAAGCACAACCGGGAGCACGCCAGCATCCAAGCAAGAACACACGCAACTGAAGCGGAGGGTGAGGCCAATGAACCAAACCAAGGGCGAGGCATAAACTGAGGGAGAAAAGCAGCAGCACTCTCTGAATTCGTTTGGCACAAACACCTACGGCCAACTCTCAAGCAGCAGGACGCAAGGGGTGCCAGTAGAGGTCGTAGCAGCCTTGCCCCAAGCAACTCATTGGAGAAGCAAGTGCGGAGCAGGAAAACGAGATGCACACACCTTTTAAACGAGGAACCCGACTGACTTGTTTCTCTGACATGTGAGTTGCAGGTTTCTTTTTGAGTGCCTCTTGTTTTGCCATGGCCTGCACCATACCCCCCGTCTCCTGTTGCACGGAAACGCTTCCATCTGCCACGTCCTTTTTTAACCTATCGGGAAACGTGGCTGCTTCTAGTGGAGAAGCTGAGATTTCCCTCTCCCTTATTACGTTAGCTTCCACTTCCACTTGGTACATCCTTTCGGAGGGCTCCATCGGGACGACAGCATCATACACTTTCCCCGACAGCCACCGTTGAGTGTCATCTAGAGTCTCTGCCACTTTATGAGCTTCCCTGCCTTCTGCATCCACCTCTACAGCTTCCTCGGCCGCGGCTGGATGGGGGAATGCTTCAAGCATCGAGTCTTGTCGGGCTCATGAGGATG